ACGAGGGACAAGAAAAGATATTCGTGTATGTAAACACGATTTATCAGGCACATTGGATTCGATAGTGGCCAGCAGAGATATCGAAAAGCCCCGATCAAATCCGCGGTTAAGAACGAAATTCTTGCACTCGGTTTATCTGATTATTTCGAGAAACACGCCGCGCGATAACGAGTATTAAGTCTCTGAAACTTTAATTAAAAAGCGATATATTTTCGTGACGCGTGCATTCGTTTCGAAATAACGAGAAAATCAAATAATAATAATAATAATAATAATAATAATATTAATCAAAATTACCAAACAGCTTAAGCATTGAAACAGAAGGAGAAAAAAAGGAAGGGGAAACAAAAAAAGAAACAGTTGAGGGGAAAAAAAAGACATAAAATGCTAATAGCACGAAATCGAAACGATAACGTAAAGATTGCATGAAAGACACGGCAATCACGTACATATTACGCAAACGGCAATTGAATGTGACGGACGAACAATTTATCACGGACAGATCGAGTCAAAAGTACCGGGACATTAAACGCCCAATGATTTGCATAAGTACGTCTAATTACAAACGTGGAAACGAAAGTGGGAGGGACAAGAGGGGGGGAAAAAAAGCAGAAGGTGATTTCATCGGACACAGCGCGTAGATCAACGTTGTTGGTTAGTCCAGTTGTCAAACTGTTAAAAACTTCATGAATAAAGCAACGCGCAACGCGCTACATTATCGAGCAAAGATCAATCGAATTCCGGCGATTTAAAGTCCATTTCCATTTTCCATCAGGCGCTGCGCCAGTTATTATATAAACGTGAATATGGAGCAAGGAATTTCAATTTTAACGAGCAGCCAGCCAACCAATGAGTATCGCCGATTGATTTAACATGGCTGGTTCGATTATCTTTTTTTTTTTCTCATCTTCTAAGAACGCGAGAAGGCGTAGAAGCGGATAATAATAAGGAATTAAGGGAATCGAAGTTTCATTATTTTAAATTATCGTTCCGATAATGATATCGTTCCAGTTTCCAATGATCAACGCGCATTTTTTCGCGATACTTACTATGCCTGTTCTATTTCAAAATATCGCGGATAAATAAATTCCATAGACTTGTATATTACCATTGAATTTCCAGTCAATAGGTTTTACGTCTGTCGCTATTAGCTCTCAAACATCGCAGAATACCTAATTAGCTAATTATTGCCTCTCTCGCCTCGCCTCGCACGTACACACAAGTTATCCTATCAAATTCTATCTTACTTCGTCTTAGGCGAAAAAAAGAAAAAACGCAATAACAACCTCAATTACTTAATGGACGTAAAGTTTTGATAAAATATTGCAATGTGTGAATGCATCTTCTCAGATATTTCTTTCTCCTCTGACAAATGATAAATTACCTGCTATTACCTACTCAACACGTTCTGGAAAAAATAAAAAATTACAACGCTCAGTTGCGAGATACTTTCTATAGTATATAGTAACATAAAGTGTGCTCTTACAATTAAGAAGCCACTGGAACAAAATTTTATTTCGAATTTATTAAGTTCTCTTTAAGAATCATTGCGATAATCAGTCAATCAGTGCCTGTTGAAAGAAAACTAGGATTAGTATTTCCAGCACAACCTACTGATTCACTGAAAAACTGGTTGATCATTCATCGAACAAAAAACAACTCTACCAACCAATCTTAAAATTCTAAAAAAACATATATATATATATATATATATATATATATATATATATATATAT